AAAGATAAGAGGGAAAAGCCTTGCTCAGGTCTTGCTCTTCATCTTGCTCCGTCTTTCGGATGAGACGTTAAACCGATGTCCTGACTCTCTGTGGTCATTAAAAATCCCAGGATGTCCTTCGAAAAAGAGTAGGGGTGTAACCCCGGCATCCTGGCCAAATTCGCCCATTGGCCTCTGACCATCATGGCCTCCTAACCATCCCCATATCTGCTGATTGGCTTCATCACTCTGTCTCCTCTCCACCAATAAGCTGGTGGGAGTTCTGGCGCAATATGGCTGCCGTCGCATCATCCAGGTGGATGCTGCACACTGGTGGTGGATGAGGAGATTCCCCCCGTCTATGTAAAGCGCTTTGAGTGCCCAGAAAAGCGCTATATAAATGTAAGGAATTATTATTATTATTATTTTTGAGTCACTGCTTGCTGTATACATCATTGACTATATAATGTGTATTATTTTATATTTACCATACATGTATATGTGTACACAGTGTGTATGTGTATGTATTGCTACCATAAATGCTATTTTTTGTTAGTAGGTTGGGAAGCTGAAGTGTCAGAGTAGCTTCCCCGGCACTGGTAATAATACAGAACGAGTAGGTGTCTTCAAACTTTTGACTGGTATGTACTTTTCAACTTTTTTCTATGCATATACTGTATATCACTATGTCTTGGTGTTTTCAGGCCTGGTGATTAAATGATTGAAATCACAAGCACTATACATTTAATACAAGAGCACAACGGCACAATCCAAGTGTGGGTGTGAATCAATCTCTGAGTGATTCTCGATTCTCTACAAAACACCTCTTCATGGTGGTCCTTTCATGATAGAGTTTCTGCCCACACACGAGTGATAAAGACGGAATGATCCTGATGCTGTCCTCGTGGCACCTCTGGAGCTTCCTGCATCTCACCTTCCCTCCGTAGCCTCTGTCTCTTTGCCAACGTAGGCCCAAGGACATCTCTGAGATGCGAGTTCTGATAGGCTTACACCGCCCTGTTTTATTTCCGTTCGACCTTGATCTTTAGTAATGGCCTATCAGGTTCTGTGTATATTAATAAAACAGCGTTATTTCTCCAAAATCCCTTTTGCTAAATTCAGCAGCCATTCCTAGCTTCTTTGATATGCAGTATCTCAGTACATTGGAAGGGTTTCATGTGAGGATTCAGTAGGAAAGGGAAGGGGGAAAGGGAACAGGAGATGCATCCGATCATCTCAAGTCTTTGCATAAATTAACATGAACCCTGGGAATCGTGTTTATTTATTTATTTCCTCCCTTACCAGGTTTAATTAAGGTTCAAGCAATGTCTTTGGGATATTTGTCTGATGGAACACGAGCCCACCCTCCCGCTCTCCTACCGTTTCCAAATCCGGTCCATCTACTGGGACAGCTATTTGTGAACTCTTTCTACTGTCTTGTATCTCACGTCAGATTGCAGCAAACCGGAGCAGGGAGGAGAAGGTGAGGATAAAACGCAAGCCTCATCTTTACACATATTAGCGTTGCGCAAAAAAAACGAATCTTCACAGGGAGAATGATTGTGTCTCATTATGTTCACCGACACGTGGCATGCCGTACAGCATGATGCCTCCTAAATATTACTTTTTAGCGGCAAAGGGGCTGATCAAGAAGATTTTTCACGAATGTCATCAAAGCAGCAGGAAAAAAAACAACCGAGGAATATGTTTTCATTGTTCAGTCAGGCTATTTTTAGATGCGTTCTGCAGGAATATGAGTTAGTAGTATCGCTGGCACTTCGGATGAAAAGGAAAACATCATTATCAGAGCGCACGTAACATCTCCTGGCAAACAAGCCACAAAATAAAGAGGTAAATAGGGAAATTAACAGCATACTTTAATTGCTTTAAAACAAGTAACACTTCATCTTCCTCAATTAAGGATGCTTGGCCCATCTTATTATAGGCTATTAGCACTGATTATTAGCGCATGCTTGATGATGGAGGAAATGGGCCGTGATGCAGGAAGCATCACCGGTCGTGGAGTCTGATCTGATTATCGTGCCCAACACCCACCAACCCCGCAGACTCTATTTAGACAAGTATTTGCAGGGCAGGCCATCAGGGAGGCCGTGCCATTTTTATTATTCAAATGCTGCTGGAACGCATCCCAATATTGTGGAATGAACAAAATATCCCAGGACGATTTTCCGCTGGGCATTAGCTTAACATTTCCACTCCAGCGCTCCTCTCATTGTGAAACACTGGAACGTCAGTCAGCAGTCTGATAGGCCGCTTTCTGCTTGTCCATTTGTCTACTTAACCCATCCCATTCCCTGTCGCCGTTAAAACAATTTCCTCTCTGACATACCAGAATAAGTATTGATTGAGGGTTTGCATTACCGGAGGTCTGGGCCGTGGCATTGATCCCCCTTCACTGCTGGACATTTTTATCATAGCTGTGCGTGCCAACTGATCACTTTAACGTATAGAACAACTAGTTTGAAAAATGCCAAGATGCTTCTCTATGGACATTTATGAAGATGAATCAGCAGGACTCACTTTTTTAGGCTGAACTTTCAAGTTTTCTGATATTAAAATATGCACTTATGTAGATTTATATGGTGCACAGAAAACATTATATAGCCCTCCCACTATTTGGGCAATAATTGTAATGTTTTTAGAGGTCTGTTATGTTTGTCCACAGTGTGGAAAAAGAGTACAGCAGAAACATAACTTGACAGAAGCATCTAGCATTCACTCTTAAAAATAAAGGTGCTTAAAAAGTTCTTCACAGCGATGCCATAGAAGAACCATTTTTGGTTCCACAAAGAACCATTCAGTCAAAGGTTCTTTAAAGAACCATTTCTTTCTTACCTTTTTATAATCTGAAGAACCTTCTTTCACCACAAAGAACCTTTTGTGAAACAGAAAGGTTCTTCAGATGTTAAAGGTTCTTTATAGAACCATTTAGACAAAAAGGTTCTTCTATGGCATCGTGAAGCACCTTTATTTTTGTTGGTGATCAACTGACTGAACAAACATGCAAGTAATCTTAAATTTTGTGGCTACTTGTTGAACATTGTTACCTATTAACATTCATGAGCCAAGGTGATAAACTTTATCCTCTATCTGGTATTAATTGCTATAACTTTAACAGGTTAAACTTTTTTACATAGTTCTAATTCGTGCATTAGTTGACTTACAAATTCCAGGACCAGCAGCACTAAAATCGGCGAAAGTCAATGCCTTTTTGATGTGCAATAAGATATGCATGCATGCATGCAATATTTATCAAAACAGTTAAAAAATGATATCTGATGAAACCTAAAGCATTGCCAAGTCTCAATGCCAAGTCAGCGTGGAAGATCTTCAAGGCCTTACAACTCCAGAGTATCTTCATGAGACCCAAATTTATCAGTCCTACCAAGATGAAGGTTTGATGCATTCATATTTCATAAGGTTATGTGAAACGACCACCCTGGAAGGTTGGGTTCGTTCTGCACATCCAGTGATTTCGGTTTAGAGAGCAGAACGCTGTAGGCCTGGTCTACAGGTTGGCGCATGTGCGCTGGACAGACCACCCTGGAAGGTTGGGTTCGTTCTGCACATCCAGTGATTTCGGTTTAGAAGAGCAGAACGCTGTAGGCCTGGTCTACAGGTTGGCGCATGTGCGCTGGACAAAATGATGTCCAAAAAGTGTGAGAAACAATAAAACTGATCAGCTTTGCTCATGAATATTAGTGTGATGTCCAACTTATTTCTTTGAACTATGATTACACAAACTTGAACACCTAAAATATGATTTTCTCCTGTGTTCTGATACCTTTCTCCATCTTTTCTCTCATATCATTTTTCTACATTTTCTCTCAATAAAATTACAGAAAAGCCTGAAATATGAGCGATTAAACAATAAAACATGAAAAAGCTATCCATGAGTAACACAAACACGGTGTTGTGCATCATTACCTTGCTGGTATGTCGATATTGGAGATGGCGTAAAAGTACTTGAGCAGGTTGTCTCTTTGTACGTAAGTTCCTCCGAGCGCCGGTCTCAGCAGCCGAAGCCGCAGGTTTGTGAAGGTGAAAAAGTCTCGGAGGCCTTTCATACTCTCCATGCGTGTGTACAAGTTGTCCATGTTTTGTAATTTTGTCCCAGCAAATATGGCGAAGCGTTCCCGGACCTCGAACCGCACATTCTTCTCATTCTTGGAACCGACCCAGCGAGAGTATTGCTCGGTACATATGACTCTAGTCACGTTCGTGGCCGACAGATCCTGCACCCTCTTTGGCAACATCCCGAAGGCATCCATGCAGTCGTCGGCGTAGTACTGGTAAGGCTGCCAGGTTCGTCCATAATTCAGGGACTTGTCCAGCACCATTTTTGTGGGCCGCCCGTACTCAAAGGTTATCTGGACGTCATCTGCTAACTCCAGGCTTTTGTTCCAGGATAAGGATATGTTGGCCAGAAGAGGCTCAGGATAACGACCCCATGTTACAGTCTGCCAGTATGTGATGAGTCCGGTTCGCTCGCTATCTTGCATCAGCACTGGAGGATGGGCGAGTTCTTTGGTGGAGGCATCGCATTCATCACTACACAGGTATGGGTTTTCCTACAGACAAAAGGAAGAAAGATAAAAGATCAAATAAAGAGTGGTACAAAATTAAGGAAGGATAATGAAATAATAATAAAAAAGAAACACACAGTGGCATGCGAAAGTTTGGGAACCCCTTGCAGAATCTGCGAAAATGTGAATAATTTTAACAAAATAAGAGAGATCATAAGGCATGTTATTTTTATTTAGTACTGTCCTGAGTAAGATATTTTACATAAAAGATGTTTACATAATAGTCCACAGTAGGCAGACAGTGATATACAGTGGCATGCAAAAGTTTGGGAACCCCTTTTTTAATAATTGTAACAAAATAAGATAGATCATACAACATGCATGTTATTTTTTATTTAGTACTGTCCTGAGTAAGATATTTTACATAAAAGATGTTTACATTAAGTCCACAAGACAAAAAAAAAAGAGCTGAATTTGTTCAAATGACCCCGTTCAAAAGTTTGTGAACCCTTGATTCTTAATACTGTGTGTGGTTACCTGGATGATCCACCACTGTTTTTTTGTTTTTTGATGGTTGTTCATGAGTCACTTGTTTGTCCTGAACAGTTAAACTAAGCACTGTTCTTCAGAAAAATCCTCCAGGTCCTGTAGATTCTTCAGTTTTCCAGCATCTTTCGCATATTTGAACCCTTTCCAGCAGCGACTGTATGATTTTGAGATCCATCTTTTCACATTGAAGACAATTGATGGACTCAAACACAACTATTAAAAAAGGTTCATACATTCACTGATGCGCCAGAAGGAAACACGATGCATTAAGAGCCTGGGGGTGAAAACTTTCGTGTTTCCTTCTGGAGCATCAGTGAAAGTTTGAACCTTTTTCTAATATTTGTGTTTGAGTCCCTCAATTGTCCTCAGTGTGAAAAGATGGATCTCAAAATCATACAGTCGCTGCTGGAAAGGGTTCAAATATGCAAAAGATGCTGGAAAACTGAAGAATCTACAGGACCTGAACAACCATCAGAAAACAAAAAAACAGTGGTGGATCATCCAGGTAACCATACACAGTATTAAGAACCAAGGGTTGAAGGGGCGTTGAACTTTTGAAGGGGGTTATTTTAATAATTTCAGCTATTTTTTGTCTTGTGGACTATATGTAAACATCTTTTATGTAAAATATCTTATTCAGGACAGTACTAAATAAAAAAATAACATGTATTTTGTATGATCTCTCTTATTTTGTTAAAATTATTCACATTTTCACAGATTCTGCAAGGGGTTCCCAAACGTTCGCATGCCACTGTATATGTAATATTAAAACATATAGGGTTTGTTGTATAATTTTTTTTAGCAAAACACTACTGTAGAAAAGTTTGAGATCAGTAAGACTTTTTTAATCAAAGAAATTAATATTTTTATTTGACAAGGATGCATTAAATTAATCAAAAGTGACAGTAAATATGTTTATAGTGTTACAAATCATTTCTATTTCAAATAAATGCTTCTTTTAAACTTTCTATTCAGTAATCCTGCAAAAAAGTTTCTTGAGCAGCAAATCAGCATATTATAATGATTCATAAAGGATCATGTGACATCAGCTTTGCCACCATTATATTTTAAAAGATAACAGAAAATAGTTATTTTAAATTGTAATAATATTTTGATCAAATAAATGCAGCCTTTGTGAGCATAACAGACCTATTTCAAAAACATAATACAAATGTTATTGACTAAACGGCAGCATATTTAATTATAGAAAATATATTAAAAAATAAACATTTTAATATGTTCATTTTTAATGCAATATATATTTAAAAAAAAAACATTAAAGTGTATATGTCATCAATTTTTAAAAAGAGGTTTTTATAGCTATTCATACTGAAATGTTTGATCAAATAAATGCAGTCTGGGTGAGCATAAGAGACTTCTTTCAAAAACAAAAAAATCTTATTGACCGAATAGTAGCATATATAAATTAGAAAAATAATTTGCAAAAAAATTTATTTATTTTTTTAATATATAAAATAAGAATTAAAATGTATATCTCATTTATTTTGAAGAAGTTTTTATATCTATCTGTCTAGATAGATGACCCCTTTCCAAAGTTCCCGTCGCTACTGTAATTTCAGACTTTGAACCTTTGCCCTACTGACACACCAGGTGTACGGAGTACCTTAGCACTTTGATCCGTAACCAGGGAGCACCTTAGCCTAACTCAGTCCTCCGACTCAATCCTGCCGTCTTTCTCCGTTTCGTGCAAATCCAGTCCAACTGCTGTGGCAGGTGGTTCTTAGACTAAACCTCAGCTATCCTCGCATGAATGGCGTCACGTCTAAAGAACAGTGCGGCTCTAAGAGAAACGATCGCCCACTGCTTAGCAGCAGGAACCCGTGTCAGTAAACAGACAATACGATGCTTTGGCCTCCTCCGGTAGACATGTGTGGTTGTTTTGGCTAATGTCACTGGAGAATTCACAGCAGAACTTGAGACAATGACTAATCATTCCTGTAATCAGATCAGAACAATTACACAATTTATTAAGAAAAAGAACACATTCTGAATACATGTGAATGGATTTAGAGGACAAGAATACACCTGGATTCAAGGGTCTAAGTTAAAAAGTAGTTAATCTAGATTAATCAAAGTAACTTTTGTGGGGCGATTCAATGTATGCTCAGTTCATGGATAATACCCAATTTTTGTTTTGTATTTTTATTCATAAATATAAAATATTAAAATAGTTTGCTATGACATATTTCAACATTATTACATCAAATTTTTTTATTTATTGACTTCTGATATCAAAGTTGTTTGTTACATCTGATTATTTTTATATTAAAATAGTTTTATTAATAAATATGTGTGTAAATGGATGGCTGTTAATTTGACAAATATTTAATTATAAATGATTCAGTTAAATAACTATTTATTTTAATAATGTCTGATATCAAAACTGTTTGTGAAATAATTTAGTAAACAGATTGTTGTGAATTTTACTAATTTAATCATTAAATATTCAGTTAGATAATAACATTTATTTATTTATTTTAACTTCTATTATCAAAGCTGTTTGCACTGGCTGAATTACGTTTGACATTTAAATATTTGTTTTAATATATATATATGTGTGTGTGTGTGTAATTGGATTGCTATGCAATGAACTAAAATGTAAATATTAGTTATTAAATTAAATCATTTAAATAACATCTGATATCAAAGTGTTTGATAAATATTAGATATGTTTATTATAATTATTTTATTAAAATAATAATATATAATACATTTATTATACATATTAAATTTAAATATTGAAATAATTTCTGATATCAAAGCTGTTTGTGATGTCCAAATTACTTTTGATATTAAAATATTATTCGTAAATATCATATATGTAAATGGATTTCTATGAATTTTACTCATATTTAATTATTATTTATTCAATTAAATAATATTTATTTAAATAACTTCTGATATCAATGGTGTTGGTGATGGATGAATTACTTTTGATATTAAAATATTACTATTTATATATTTGTAAACTGGTTGCTATGAACTTTAATAACATTTAGTTTTTAATCAATTCAATAATATTCAATTTATTTATTCAATATTTAATTAAAATGTTTAAATATTTGGCTCAAATACTTTTAAAGTTAAAATATGTTCTAAAAAAACAATAAACAAAGACTGTAATATGCTGTGTTTTTTTTTTAGGACAGACTATGAAGCACAAGAACTAGCATCCTGGAACAGCAGTGAAGTTTTTCCAGGACCCTGTGATTCCTGTGTCACTACTTGGATCTTTCCCAGTGGATAATCTGACTTCACCGACCCCATGTCAGTTTAGGAACCACAGCAAACTATTTAGCCTGAATGTTGCTAATGCAGAAGCTACAACTGTCACAGAATCTGATAACATTAGCCTTTGACTTGTGCTGAGTGTGACCTTCGTCATTAGCATCACTCACCTTTCAATGGGAATTCCTGCCCTGTCTGTATATAAGTCTGTTTGTATTGCATGTTGAATATATGGTTCAACCTTGCCTAGGAGAATCCACATTGCACTGAGGATCTGTTTATAGGGGCTGACCGAGAAAGAAAGATGGATGTGTGTTCTTAAAATAAACAAGATGAATCAGGAGATTTTGTTAACAAAAATGGGGCTCGAATAGAAAATGTTACAATGTTTCATAAGAGCAGTCACTCTGGTATTATTAAATGTTCTGACCACGGTTAACAAGCTGTGAAGAGCAGGTACTACACTCGTGGACACTGGACCGACCGCTAGTCTTGTACCTGGAGAGGTGGCCCTCTTTTTTCCTGCGGCGTGAGTTAATTACAATGAAGGCAGCTCCCTCTGGACATCCAGTCATATAACAGCTGGCGCTGAACAGCTTCAGAGTGATACAGTCGCCTAATTATACCAGCCAGAAAGTGACTTGCACAAGAGTTTCAACTGTCCCAGAGAGTGCCAGAACAGGGCTTTAATATGCAAATATATTTTCAAACCATTTTTAGCCTATTTAGTCAACTTAGTAATGTTTCTGAAGTTTAATGGATTTGGAGGGCTTTTCAAATGTATTTCAGATGTGTTTTCAGACTGTTTTTATGCTTGGTTTGATCACTCAATGAGAGTTTGATTTCTATGTGTTAGAAATTATTTCAGTGCTGCCAGAATATTCTCAGTCCCCCTTTCATGGGCCCATGGGAAGAGTCATGAACATAGAGATGTGTCTCTGTCACATATCTGGGTCCAGACGGGCCGTTCCAGGCCGAACTCAGTGAACCCCCTTTCCAGTACCCCAACTCCATGCTTATCCTGAACAGCACTAAGACCCCTAAACATCTGTGTATGCGTATAAAAAGAGTGAAATAGAGGGGGACAACAGGCAGAATGAGCTGAGAGACATTTATTATTTAACATTATGGAAGTTTATTTCTGCCACAGAATAAAAAATAAAAAAGGTAATTGCAACTTTTTTCTCGCCATTTCGAGTTATCTTATCAGAATTCTGACTTTTTTCCTCACTATTCTAATTTTGCCA